GTTTATTGATCCGGGTGGTGCCAGCTGATCCATCAAGTGCAGGGTCTGCAAAGTATCTTGAGCACTGATCTTAGGAGCAGTTTAGGGAGGGTCAGAATCTTGTAGCCTCCAGCTGCATGACTCCTAAACCATAATTTCTAATCGTGTGGCTAACGTGAATCCTACAAAGGCAATCTAGTTCCCAGGCAAGAAGGAGGTCTGCTTTGGGAAAGGGCTGTTAACGTCTTTGTTTAAACTATAAACTAAATTCCTCTCAAAGATAGTTCAGCCTACACCCAGGAATGAACAAGGACGGCTTGAAATTAGAAGCAAGAAGGAGTTGATTAAGTTAGAGCTCTTTCACTGTCTCAGCCATAATTTTGCAAAGGTGGTTTCGAATTATCCACCTGGAAATTCTCTGGCCCTACCTCAAAAGTACATCCAGAGTCTCACCCCTTCTTACTGCCTCTCTCTGACCTCAGACAGCTTCCTCTCCTCCCCGCCTCCAGTCTGGCTCCCTTTGCCTCATGGCCTCTACTCTCCTGTTCTACTGTCAGCGGCTCCTGACCAGACCTTTGGTTCATCACCTCCTTCAAGTCTGATTAGAGGGCCTGGCAGGGTGGCTCATGCCTGTAATCCCAGCACTTTGGGAGCCCAAGGTGGGCAGATCACCTGAGGTCAGGAGTTCAAGATCAGCCTGGCCAACATGGCAAAACCCCATCTCTACTAAAAATACAAAAATTAGCCGGGCATGGTGGTATGTGCCTGTAATCCCAGCTACTCTGGATGCTGAGGCTGGAAAATTGCTTGAATCTGGGAGGTGGAGGTTGCAGTAAGTGGAGATCACGCCACTGCACTCCAGCCTGGGCAACAGAATGAAATTCCATCTCAAAAAAGGTCTGATTAGAAGAGGTTTCTCTTCCTGCAGGCCCTCATCTGCCCCTTCCTGTGCCCTGCAGCAGACTCCTCTTTGGCATGTTCCACTCTCCAAGCCCTGTGTGGGCCCCCCCTCGCTTCATTTTAATGTCTGCCCCTCCACACACCTCCCCACCCCCACCCCTGTCTAGATACGAACGGCGCGAGGGCGGGAATTTCTCTGTTGTTTTCTCGATTTCCTAGAGCAGCACCTGCTCTTGGTAGGTGCCCGAGACTCACATGTTGAATGAATGAGCAGGTGCTCAAGGGACTGACCCACCCAGGCAGACCCTTCCCAGTCTGGGACTCAGCACTCCCCGTGGAGAGGCAGTGTTGGGCTGATAGCCTCCAACCCTTGCCTGCCCCTGTTAGGAAGTGTCAGCACGCAGTGGGCACCCAGCAGGTCTGACTCCCTTCTCTGCCCCTTCCCTCTCAGGCACTTTGCCATCCTGTGATTCCCTGACTCTCCAAACAGCCAGGAGGCAGCTGGAGAAGCCATGACCCCCGTCCTGTGGTTGGCTTCCCAGAGAGAAGCTTGGGGCCCCTCCGTGGTGGGAAGCTCAATGGGCTGAGTTGGCAGAGGCCAAGATGGAGCCTGGACCCAGCCCCCACCTCCTGCCTCCTCTCTCCAGGTGGGCGGAGCACCCCACAGATGGAGCCCGTGTCCCTGCATGTGGTCAGTGTGAGGGTGTGAAAGATGAAAAAGTGACCTGTCCCCTGCACTCTGCCAGAGGCAGTGCCTGGACACACTCAGGCGCCCACTGGCCCAGGAGCCCTGAAGGCAGGCCTGGTGGGAAGAGGGTCTCCTGAATTGGCCTGGCAGGTGCAGAAGTCTGGGGAATTGAGCCAGACAAGGAGGTCAGGGGTCACTTCTGCACCCTCAGCTCCTAGCAGGGGCAGGCAAGGGCTCCAGAGACCATTAGCCCAACCTTGACTCCCCAGGGACAGAGGTGAGGCCCAGATTGTGAGGGTCTGCCTGGGTGAGCCAGAGGCAAGAGGATTAGAAGCCACTCCCTTGACCTTCACCCAGTATGCCTGCAGGGTCCCACCCTGCCTGGTGGGTCAGTCCTTCAGGGACCCTGAACACCCAGGCATTCATCCCACACATAATTACTGGGCACCTACCACGTGCCAGACTCTGCTCCAGGAGCTGGGAAGCCGAGGGGGCCCAGGCAGAATGTCCCTTCTGTAATATTAACAGATGGTCTCTGCAGTGGGATGGGGGCTCTCCACCCTTGGGGCCCCCAGAGGGTCCTTGCTCAGCAGTGCCCCATTGTCCAGGGGTTGGTCCAAGGCTCTTAGCCTGGCTAGCACCGGCCCATACACCCCACAGCTCGCCACCATGTCGTGCCTCTGGCCCCACTGGCCATCCGCACTGCCCGTTGGCTTGCAGCCTCGCTGGCTCACCGGGGCCTCTGGGCGGAGCATAGGCCACGCTCTGTTAGCATGCGTCCTCACAGGTGCGCGTCTCAGTATCCTGAACACCAAACACTTCATCCACCGCTGGGCCCAGGGACCGAGCAGGGCGGCTCAGGGGACACTAGCTGCGACCATTTTTCACCCCTTGCTGGAGTCCAGTCCACCTGGGGTCGGCTGACATCTCCAAGATCCCAGTCCGCTGGAAAGCAGGTGATAACCCCAGGTGCCAGGTCCAGGCTGGCCGTGGCCCCCCACCAGCTGGGCGGCTTCTGAGGGCAAGGGTGTCTGCCTGCTTGGGCTTCTGTGTTCAGGCTTAGAAACCCCTCAGATGAAGGGCTCTAAATGGGTGGGAAGGCGGGGCTGAGGGGGCAGCCACTTATTTGTGGCCATCAGGCAGACCCTGCTTGGGGGAGGTTCTGCAAGGGCCAGGGTCCTGATATATTTGGTTACAGAAAAGGTGGGAATTCCAATCCCGCCCACCGAGAACCACAGAACCCTGCTGCCTCTGTAAAGCGGGGTGGGGCCCGTCTACCTCGCAGGGAGCTGGGAGGAGAAAATGCACCCTGGGTGAGAGCCTGGGGAAGCATCCTTCATTTGGGTCCAGGCTCAGATGCCACCTTCTTGGAAGGGCCTTCCTGCGGACGTCGCTGTTTAGCACGTCCCCTGGCTCTGTTTCCTGTGTGACTTGGACCTATCTAAAATGATTTGTCCCAGTATCCCTTTCCTACTTACAGGGCCCCGTCTCCCGCCTGGCTCCGTGCTCCAGAGTATCTGGGGAATGACTGGGCCCTCCCCTCCAACAGGCCTAATTCAGTCCCCCATGCCATGCAGAACCAGGGTACACAAGAATGGTGAAGTCCTGGGGCAGCTGTCACCATGGCCTCCGCAGGCTCAGTGTCGGGAGACCCACTTTCTGACCTGGTTCCACTGCTCAGCTTTGAGGTCAGGGCCTACAGAGACGGTGCCACGTTGGAGATGGGCCTCCAGGGACGGTGCCACATTGGAGACGGGGTTCCAGGGACGGTGCCACGTTGGAGACAGGCAAGTCTGGGCCAAAGGAGGAGGGCCCAGGGTGGCCAGGGCAGCGCCCAGTGAGGTGCTGCTCTGAGGAGGTGGGGAGTGGGCACTTGGGCAGGGGACACTTGGAAAGTAAGGATGAAGCCCATCTCGGTACCTGGGTATAGGGAGTGTTGACAAAAAAAAGCCAAACACTGTAAAATATTTGAAGAGATTTATTCCGAGCAAATGTGAGGACTATGACCTGCGAAACCGCCTCAGCAGGTCCCGAGAATATGTGAGCAAGGTGGGTGGGTAACAACTTGGTTTTATACTTTTTTTTTTTAATTTTCAATTTTTTTCTGTAGAGGCAGGGTCTCGTCATGTTGCCCAGGCTGATCTCAAGCTCTTCGGCCCAAGCGATGCTCCCACCTTGGCCCCCGAATATGCTGGGATTATAAGCAACAGTCACCATGCCCGGCCTGGTTTTACAGATTTTACAGAGACAGATGTTACAGTCCAAAACCATAAATCGACACATGTGAGGTACACACTGGATCAGCCTGGAAACAGGGTTGGCAGGGGCGGCTTCCAGGTCATAGGGGTTCAGAGATTTCCTGATTGGCAAGTGGTTGAAAGAGTTAAGTTTTGCCTAAAGAGTTGAAGTGGGATTACTCACGCCTGTAATCCCAGCACTTTGGAAGGCTGAGGCAGGCAGATCACCTGAGGTCAGGAGCTCGAAACCAGCCTGGCCAACATAGTGAAACGCCATCTCTACTAAAAATACTATATATATATATATATATATGCCAGGTGTGGTAGCATACGCCTGTAATCCCAGTTACTCGGGAGGCTGAGGCAGGAGAATCGCTTGAACCCAGGAGACACAGGTTGCAGTGAGCCGAGATCGCGCCACTGCACTCCAGCCTGGGCCACAGAGCCAGACTGTGTCTCGAAAAACAAACAAACAAACAAACAAAGAGCTGACGTGAGTGGCTAAAAAGTGCCCGACCTCCTAGGGAAGGAGCTTCTCTAGAAAATGTGAATTTCTCCCCGTCAAGAGACAGCTGTACAGGGCCATATAAAAACCTGTGAAAGGAATATATTTTGGGATGGAATACTTTGCCTGCCTTCGGGCCAGATGTCTGCCACGTGAGGCTGTGCCAGGGTGAGGTTGGAATTAGGGATCTGGAGGCTACGGAGCCATCGGTGAGGCCTGAGTCTAAGCACAGCGCCCAGAGGGAGAGGGCGGAGCAGGTCCGACCCCCTTTGCCGCAGGGCCTGAGCTGGTTTTCTAGGTTTCTCTGGAAGCCCTGAGGAGGAGCGGAGGGTCCATTCGGTGGGCTGGGGACTTTGAATTTAACCTTGGTTTGCAAGAGGCTTCCACGCAGGAGGTCTGGGAGCGTCTCGGAGGGGGCGAGGGGGCGCTGGGGGGAGCGGGTGCAGGAGCCCAGGGCGCAGCGCCCCGCTTAGGCCTAGACGCGGGGACGGCCGCGGCGGCCGGGACAGGGGTCACCCCGCGGGGCCCTCCAGGCTGGGCCGCCCCACGACCCCTGCCAGGCCGAAACGGGAATCCTCCAGACCCCAGAAGCTGAGCCGGGCTGACCCCGCGGGCGGTGGGCGTGGCGGGCGCACTCCTCGGCGCTGTGCGCGTGCGCTGAGGTCGCCCCGCCCAGGCCCCGCCCGGCGCACGCCAGCCTCGCCCACGTGACCAGCCCGGGTGCAAACACGCGGGTCAGCTGATCCGGCCCAACTGCGCCGTCATCCCGGCTATAAGCGCGCGGCCTCGGCGCCCCGCTCCGACCCGGTGGCCGCCGCCATGCATCCCCCCAGCCTTCTGCTGCTCGCCCTCTGCATCCTGGCTGCGCCTGCCGCCGCGCTCATCAGGTGAAGCCTCAGGGTCCGGGGCTCAGGGAACTGTCAGGGGTCGCGGCCCCGAGGTCCCGGGGCCTGTGGTGACTTCCGCGCTCCCCTGGGGACCCCACGAGCCCCTTGCGCCCCCCGCGCTGGAATGCACCGGTGCCGCCCTGCGCGGTCTCCTGCACGGCCCACCTGCCTACCGGGCGCCGGGCTCCGGAGGTGCAGGGGACCTGGGGCAGAGGTGCCAGACGCCTCTCCCCATGCCACCCTGAGGTGTACCTTGAGGGGCCAGGGGGAGGCGTGAGGACTGCAGACTGACCGCAGCCTCCCTGGAGATGGGGCGGGGCTGGGGGAGGTAGTGCTCATTCGGGGCAGCTGGAATTGGGGGTCTGCGTTGAGCCCCCTTTTTGCTGGAGACCTAGGTGCAGTCCCCAGAGCCCCCGAGTCTGGGCGAGTCCATTTCCTTAGGGACCCCTTTATCACCTGTGAACTGGGGGCCTTAAAAGTCTGCTCCTGCAGCTCTTATCACAGGCCCTGGGCTGGGAGGCCCCTCCAGACCCTAGGAGTTCCCATGTCCCTGGGAGAGGAGGAGGCATAGGGAGTGGGCCAGCTCACCCACCCCGGGCCTGGGGCTGTGCTGCAGTGAGGCCCACACGCTCCTCAGGCCGAGCCACTGTGCCAGGTGAGGCCACCGACTGGGCCTGGATATACCTGACTGGGCCACCGACATACCTGACCCGCTGGGCAGAGGAGGGCCGCGCTGCAGTCGGCTTCCTTGACTCCCCTCCCCAGCCCTTGCAAGGCAGCCTGCATTCCCAGGAGGGGTATGCTGACCCATCCCATTGGGCACCTGCCCCACCCTTGCTCTGGGCCTTTGTGGGAGACCTGGGACCTGAGATGGGTCCACTGCCCCTGGGCAGGTGGGTGAGGTCAGAAGGCTGCAGAGGCTGGAGCTGGCTGGGCCAGCAGGAGCAGTGGGCTGGGTAGGACTGAGCCTCACCAAAGGCTATGGGGAACGGCCCGGGGGCGGGTAACCCCAATTAAAGTCGTTGTGGGGGAGCAGCCACAAGCCTGAGCCTGCCTTGACCTTGCCAGCCTATCCACAGGCCTCCCCTCTCCAAGGAGGGCAGACACAGCAGTGGGGAAAGGATCCTGGGGCTTCTTGGAGGGCAGGGTCGCTGAATGCAAGCCCTCACCTGATTCCAGCTCTTGTGCAACTGATACTATTACACCTGCTTCCTGGGTCCCTGGAGAGCATGTCCCTCCCCCAGGACAGAACCTGGGGCTCTTCCAGCCCATCAGCTTTTAGGCAATAATCTCATCTTCCTGGACCACACCCTTGATGTGCCAGGAAAAGCGGGCTATGACCTTGGACTCTCAAGTCCCTGGGGCAGGGGATAGGTTTTCTCCAGGTGATGAAAAGCCCAGGGGAGCTTCTTTGGAACAAGGAGTTGGTTCACACCAAGGGGAAGGCCAGTGGCCCTGAGGAAGGGGCAGGGACCCCCTCTCTGTTATTTACTTCCTGTGTATAGAACTCAGGACCCCTGACCTCAGTCTGGAGCTCCCTCCTGCACCCTGGCGGGCGGTGTGCTGGGTGACGGGGCTCTGGAGGGGTGCCCTGAGTGCAGCTGTCGGAGGAGGCAGGGTGGTGGGTGGGGGAGCACAGAAGCCTCTAAGGCCCCGGGTGCAGTCCTGGACCTCGTGGAGCCGCATGGAGTGAGGAGAAGGGCCAATGCACAGGAACAGGTGTGGGATGAGGGCACTGGACAGCCACAGGGTCCATGTGGAGGAGGATAGGTAGTCAAGGAGGGCTTCTGGAGGTGGCGTGGAGGGCCCATCTCATGGCCAGAGGAGGCCACCTAGGAGGTCAGGCAGAGCTGCCAGTGCCAGCCTGGAGGTGGGGCCACCTTCGTGCTGGTCTCTGGGTGGAGAGCAGGTGTGATGGGGCTGGGTACAGTGGGCTACCTCAGAGCACTTTGGGCAGGAGTGACAGGTGCCCGCCAGCACCCTGAGCAGCCATGCTGGCCACCATCCTGGAGGAGACCAGAGCAGGTGCAGAGGGAGGACTGGAGGCCCTTGGGGGCTTTGGAGCCTCTAGAATGGCTGAGGAGAGGAGGGGTGGGCACAATGGCCCCCAGGTTGGGTGTGTGGGGCCGAGGTGGGTGGTGGGTGGCCACTTCCTAGGACTGTGGCCTGTGCAACCTCGGGGGGGCGATGGGTTGCCATTCACTGATAGGGGAGGTGGACCAGCAGTTTCCAGGTGACAGGCAGGAGTTTGGTTTTGGCTGTGGTGACTTCGAGATTCCCCAGGGGCCTCCAGATGGATGTGCAGTGTTAGCGGCGTCCGCCGGCAGGCGGGAGGACCTCCCTGATATGCCCCGACCCCTGGTTGACAGGATCCCGCTGCACAAGTTCACGTCCATCCGCCGGACCATGTCGGAGATGGGGGGCCCTGTGGAGGACCTGATTGCCAAAGGCCCCATCTCGAAGTACTCCCAGGCGATGCCAGCCGTGACCGAGGGGCCCATTCCCGAGGTGCTGAAGAACTACATGGATGTGAGTATGGGGTCTTAGCCCTGCTGGGAGCGGAGCCGCTCTCAGGAGAGCTCCCTGGGACTGTGGGGACACTCCCGCCTCCTGCTCTCAGCGGCACAGTTTGAGTGACTCACTTGGCCAGGGTGGCGTCCAGGCTCAGCCACACTCCTGTCTTCCCCATTCTGGAACCTCCTGCCACTGGCCCCTGTGGTTGTAGGATCTCGGGCCTCAGTGCCAGCTCGCCCGGGGGCCAGTCATTGGGTCTGCCTGGGTGTGGCCGGCTGCCCTGGAGCCTGTCTTTTATTGCTGTCCTGCCAGGAGGCCTATGGTGACTCGTGGCCCCTCTCCAGCCCGTCCCCATCTTCTTCCTCTGGCAGCAGCCCCTCCTGTGCCCACGACTGCTTCAGGGGGAAGCAGGATCCAAAGGGGAGCACTCTGGAAGCCACCTAGCAAGCTGGGGCTTGGTCAGCCTTGTCCCAGCTCTTTGGGGTCAGTTCGAGGCCAGGGCCTGCTGTCCAGCCTCGGGGCTCTGGCCCACTGTGGGGGGGGCCTTGCCCTCTGTCCTGCTTGGCCCGAGTCCTGGCTGTGACAGGAAGCCCAAGACTCATAGGCATGTGACTGGGCGGGTTGGGGGGAGGGGGCCTGGGGGGAACCGGGTGCCGTGTGCCTGGTCCCGACCGGCCAGTTCCTGATCGCCCTAGCGCGAGAGCACGGCGATGCACACACATGCACACGCACACATGGAGATTTGCTGAGTGTCCCCCCGCCAGTGGTCACTTCTGTGGGGCCATGAGTCAGCAGCTGCTGCTGCTCTGTGAAGCCAGGCGGTCAGAGAAACATCGGGCTGGGCTGGTGCCAGGAATCTGGTGGCTGACGGTGGCCCAGGCTCTATTCCTGGGGGAAGCGGGCGCCCAGGCGACCCCAAACTCCAGGAACCTCTTACTCTCTGCCTCCTGAGATGCTCAGTGGGCGTGGGACCCCTTGTACTTGCCTGATCCCTGAGTCAGCACCCCCACCTGTCCCTGCTATCCCTGTGTACACATGGGAAAACTGAGGCCCTGGGCCATTAAGGAAGGGTTGCTGGGCAGGCAGTGACTAAGGCTTACCTTCTCCCCTTGACCAGCTGAACCCCTCTGCCTGGAAGCCCTCCAGGCTTGGGGTTCACCCTGGAGAGCAGGGCAGGCACTGAGACACCCAGAATCAGACCCTGATACGGTCCCAACCTGGGGAGGAAGTCACTTCCCATCTCAGGCCCTGGACCCCAGGCCACCAGGGGAGTCTTCCAGGCAGGCCCTTCCTGTACCTGGGGCTCAGGCCGAGGGCCACATCTGTCCCCACCCTGGATTGACCTCTGGCCTTGTCTTTTCCGTGGGGAAGTCCTCAGCCTCACCATGTGTCGAGCAGGGGTAGGTGGCAGAACCCAGAGATCTGGAGACCCCAAGCACCTGTGGGCGTTAGGACCGAGGGCTGGGGACCTGGCCCATCTTCCCTGCAGGCTGAGCCGGTTGGAGTCAGTGGCTGTTGGCAGCTGTGGGCCCCATGATGCTCATCCTTCCAGCATGGGCCTTCAGGCTTCAGGGTTGGGCTCTGGGGACAGCCGGGCCTTCTGAGGCTCGGTGGGGAGAGAGGGCCCCCTCCCCATCCCTGACGGACCCTGTCCCCTGCCAGGCCCAGTACTACGGGGAGATCGGCATCGGGACGCCTCCCCAGTGCTTCACGGTCGTCTTCGACACGGGCTCCTCCAATCTGTGGGTCCCCTCCATCCACTGCAAACTGCTGGACATCGCTTGCTGTGAGTCACGCACCCGTCTCCCAGGCCCTTTTGGGATGTCGCCACAGGGCTGCCTCAGAAATCACTTGGGCAATGCACTTCTCCCGCCTCTTGGCCCCATGAGCCAGGCCGGCCCTCCACCCTGCTCCAGGCACTGGCTTTCTGGGTGAACCACCAGCTGTGGTCTTGCTCTCAGCAGCGCTGGGACTGGGGTGGCCGTGGAGGGAGCCAGCTGTGGCTGGGAGGGAGGCCCAGGGTCACAGCCTACAGTCCTGGGGCTCTGGCACGATGGTGGGCCTCGGATCCCCTCCAAATCCCACCCTGGGGAGGCAGCTTGGGGGGAGCGGGCTCCATGGTAGACTGCAGGGGGGTGGGAGGGCCGTGGCCATGGCGTGGGCTGCGGGATGACCGGCGGGCCCTCTTCTCGCCCGGGGCAGGGCTCCACCGCAAATACAACAGCGACAAGTCCAGCACCTACGTGAAGAATGGCACCTCATTTGCCATCCACTACGGCTCGGGCAGCCTCTCCGGATACCTGAGCCAGGACACCGTGTCGGTGAGTCCCTCTAGGGCCTTTCCCAGGACTCGAGGGTGCCAGGGTGTGGGGTTCACCCACCGTGGGTATGTGGTTGAAAGGGAGGGCGCGGTGGTCCCAGGCCGGCCCCAGCCCTCAGGTGGCCGGAGCGGTCAGCAGGATGAGGAGGGGCCTGGGAATGGCCTGGTCACGTGAAGGCTGGAGGGACAGCCTCGAACCTGAGGGCTACAGGGGCAGGGGTCCCCGGGGTCGGGCCACAGTGAGTGGGAGGGAGGACAGGGCAGATTGATTGGGCTTTTTTTGGCACATTGGGTTTGAGGTGCCAGCAGGTGTTGAGGGCTGGGCCTGGGGCTGCACAGGGTCCTTGAAGCAGGCCAAGGGGTTGGGGAGGCTTGGGGTTGGGAGGATTGCCAGGAACCCGCTGTGGGGACTGCTGGCAGAGAGTCACCTGCAGGAGCCTGGGAGGGTAAGGGAGGGGGAGCAGCAGTGGCTGTTGGGGGCCCCGCCTGCGCTCCACCATCCTCAGGGCCCTGTGCAGAGCTGCTCCCTGCCCAAAGAGAGGGCGAGCTGGCCCTTGTCACCCTGCCTGGGCCTCAGTGAATTCTCACCTCGGAGCTGTCTGCTCGGGGTGGGCCAGGCCGCAAGGGGTTCAGGAGTAGTGGGACGGTGACACAGCCCCCAGCTCTGGAGCAGGCCAGGAGGGCAGCAGAGCCCCCCCGCAGGCCAAGGGACCTGGGAAGAGGGCCCCTTCCTCCAGCTGGACCTGCTCCTAACAGTCCCTGCTGGGCTGGAGTCCAGGTCTGTACAGGGGGCTCCTCAGAGCCCTCTCCTCTGGGCCCTGCTCAGCCTGAACGGGAAATTGCCCCGTCTGCCCTCTTCCGCCTCCTCCGCCCCATGTCAGCCTCAAGCTGTCGTTCCCTTCCCACATCCTGCTCTGGCCTGTTCTCTTTCTGCAGCCTCATCCAGGGCTGGGGGAGGGGACAGTCAGAGAGGGGGATGGGGGCAGCACGGCTGTGAGTCTGGGTTGGGGTCGGCGGGTTCCCCGTCTCTCGGGCTCCTGGCCCAGGTTGTCTCTTGTTCCCAAGGCTGAGGGCAGGAGCAGGAGCAGGACCTGCCTGTTGGTGGTGGTGGGAACAAGAGGTCAGAGCAGGGAGCGGGGCAAGGGGTCTCCCCGTCTGTGCTCCTGCCTGGTTCCCATCTCCTTAAAACCAAGGCCCAAAGTCTCCCACAAAGACGTGTCCCCATTCCCCGCTGTATTCAGCTCACCGTTTCCAGCCCTTTCTGCTGGGCCCTCTGGGCCCCATCGTGTGTGAGATGAGGGGCATCCATTGAGCTGGGTTTTGTAGCGCAGCCTCATGCTCAGAGAGGGGTGTAGGGCTCAGCCTGTGTGCGACCCACTGACGCTGCCCTGGCCTGCAGGTGCCCTGCAAGTCAACGTCATTAACCGCTGCCCTGGGCGGTGTCAAAGTGGAGAGGCAGGTCTTCGGGGAGGCCATCAAGCAGCCAGGCATCACCTTCATCGCAGCCAAGTTCGACGGCATCCTGGGCATGGCCTACCCCCGCATCTCCGTCAACAACGTGCTGCCCGTCTTCGACAACCTGATGCAGCAGAAGCTGGTGGACCAGAACATCTTCTCCTTCTACCTGAACAGGTGGGCGCGTGGGTTCCCTCTCCCCTCCTGCTCTCCTCGCTCAGCATTGCTGGGAGGCAGGGCGGGGCTGGGCTGGGAGCCTCCCAGGCACCCCCACTCAGTGCCGCCCCCTCCCTGCTGCTGTGGCCAAAGCTCCTGACCTCTGACCTCAGGGTGTCCAGGAGGCAGGGGTTGGCCGCCCTTCTGCAGAGGAGTAAGCGGATCGCAGAGAAAGCTGTTTGGCCGGGGTCTCCCAGTGGGAGGAGCTCAGGCCAGGCTGTGGGTCCTGGGACCTTGGCAGCTGGGCCTCCCTCCTATGAGAACAGACCCAGTTCGGGGGTCATGGCGGTTCCTCTTGGTTCAGTTGGCCCGTTGGTCCCTGGACCTAGTGATGGGCATGTGTGGTCCTGGTCCCGGGGTTGCTGATGGTGGAGAGGGGTCATGGTGCCCAGGGGCCTGGGAGTCCCTGGGGAGGTGACTTGGGTGGGTGCGGGTCCCCGGCACCACGCAGCGAGCAGCTCTGTGGGTGTCCCCAGCAGGTGCTGGCTGCCCTCTAGGAGGAGCATAGGGGGGCCCTTCCTTCTGGGAAAAAGGTTCTCCCCCAGGGTCCCCACCTGCTGCCACTGCTTCAGCATGGGTGAGCCATGGTCAGGCCACCTTGGGAAGGGGGCCTCGGCCTTAGTTAGTTTCCTCTTCTCGGGCAGACCTGAGTGGAGGGTTCCACATAAGAGGGGTGACTGGGGGTTGGGGGCTTTTGCTCTGGGGGTGGGCAGCGTGTCAGCCGGCGGCCTCCTGCCCTGAGCTGTGCCTGGTCACTGCCCCATACTCTCCAAGGCTGACAGGGGCAGGTTCACCTCATGTGGCTCGCTTGGCACTTGGAGTCTCTGGGCCTGACACCTGACCTTGGGGCACTGCTGGCAGAATTCCGGCCGTGGGGCTGGCCTGGCCTCTTTACTCTGTCCGTTGCCTGGGCAGTGAATACTCCTTAGCAACACCCTGGGCTGAGCTGCTCACTGGAGGCCAGGACACAGGTGAACCGGCTGGGCCATTTCCCCAGGAGCCTTGGGGCACAGGGGAGGCAGCGAGGTGAAGAGGGGTCCCCTGAGGGCAAGAGGGCACACAGGCATGAGTGCCCACATGGGGGAGGAGGGCACACAGCCTGAGTGCCCAGGTCGGGGAGGCGGACACAGGTATGAGTATCCAGGTGGGGGGAGGAGCACACAGGCATGAGTGTCCATGTGGGGGAGGGGCACACAGGGTGAGTGCCAGGTGGGGGGAGGGACACACAGACTGAGTGCCCAGCTGTAGTCTCAAGGCAGCGGCTTGGGCAGGAAGTGAAGCCAGGCAGGAGGGAGGGTCTGAGGGCTTCTGAAAGCGTGTTTGGCGAGGAGAGGAGGGGTGGAAGGCACTGATCGGGTTTCTACACTTGGGATTGCAGAGGTGTTGACAGGAAGCAAAGGCGGAGGAGGCTGGAGGAGGGCGGAGGCCCTGAGCAGTGCTGGGAGGACTGGGTCAGGCCTGGTGCTGCCTCGAGTGACGGGCAGTGGGATGGTGGCCAGCTTAGCTGCAGATGCCCTGGTGGGATGGCAGGACCACCGACACAGAGAGCTTCTCTAACGGGACTGGCAAGATTTGCTGCGTTGAAAGCTTGTACTTGAGTCATGTTTGGAAACGAACCCAGGCGACACGGGCTGCAGGTCCTGGGAAGTGCAGTGCGCTCCTGCCCAGAAGCACCTTGGCCATCGGTGGTCTGGATGAGGGGAGATGAGTGGGCGTGGCTCGGGAATGCAGTTGGAGGCTGTTCCCAGGAGCAGCCAGTGCAGAGGCCCTGAGGCCGGAACCAGCCATCCCAGCTTCCCAGATTGTGCCATCACCCCCTCCTAGAAGCCTTCTTTGGTTTTTCTTCTAGACAGACGGACAGGGTCCTCCCCATTGGGCTCCTGGCATTCACTTCCTTGTCTGCCCCCAGCCTTGACCCTGATGTCTGGCTGAACCTTGGCTCCTGAGCAGACCAGGAGAACCTGAGGGTTGAGGAAAACCTCTTCTGGGGCAGGCTGGGCCCACGCAGAGCAGCCCCACCCCAGGAAGAAGGGAGTCCGTCCCTCCTCCTGCGTTCTGGGCCTTTCCATCTCTGCAGGTCCAGAAAGCCCCTCCTTCAGGAAGCTCTCCCCAATTGCCACATTCACCCCCTTACTCCTGACCTGGCCCTCCTGTGCTTGGGGGGTGCAATGGCAGCTGACTCCTCCCTTCCTTTCCTCCTAGGGACCCAACTGCACAGCCCGGGGGTGAGCTGATGCTGGGCGGCACGGACTCCAAGTATTACAGGGGTTCTCTGTCCTACCTGAACGTCACCCGCAAGGCCTACTGGCAGGTCCACCTGGACCAGTGAGTAGTGGCTGCAGTCCGCTCCCCTGGGTTCTGTGGGTGGGAGCGGCATGCAGGGACCCTGGAGGAACCAGGTTCTGCAGGTGGGGGTGCCTGTGGGGAGTGGTGGAGCTGGGCAAGAAAGAGATGGGGTCGGACCAGCCCTTCATGCCCCTCCATGCCCCCATCCCCTCCATCCCCTCCATCCCCTCCATCCCCTCCATCCCCTCCATCCCTCCATCCCTCCATCCCTCCATCCCCTCCATCCCCTCCATCCCCTCCATCCCCTCCATCCCCCCATCCCCCCCATCCCCTCCATCCCCCCATCCCCTCCATCCCCTCCATCCCCTCCATCCCTCCCATCCCTCCCATCCCTCCATCCCCTCCATCCCCCATCCCCTCCATCCCCTCCATCCCCTCATCCCTCCATCCCTCCATCCCTCCATCCCCCATCCCTCCTTCCCCCATCCCTCCATCCCCATCCCCTCATCCCCCATCCCCCTCCATCCCCTCCATCCCCCCATCCCTCCATCCTCCATCCCCTCCATCCCTCCAGCTCCCTCCATCTCTCCATCCCCTCCATCCCCCCATCCCCTCCATCCCCCCATCCCCTCCATCCCCTCCATCCCCCCCCCATCCCCTCCATCCCTCCATCCCTCCATCCCCCCATCCCCTCCATCCCCCCATCCCCTCCATCCCTCCATCCTCCATCCCTCCCATGCCCTCCATCCTCCATCCTCCATCCCCCCATCCTCTATCCCCCATCCCCTCTATCCCCCCATCCCCTCATCCCCTCCATCCCTCATCCTCCCATCCCCTCCATCCCCTCCATCCCCTCCATCCCTCCCATCCTCCATCCCTCCATGCCCTCCATCCCTCCCATCCCTCCATCCCCCATCCCCCTCTATCCCCCATCCCCTCTATCCCCTCCATCCCCTCCATCCCCTCCATCCCTCCATCCCCTCCATCCCTCCATCCCTCCATGCCCTCCATCCCTCCATCCCTCCATCCCCCATCCCCTCTATCCCCCCATCCCCTCTATCCTCCATCCCCTCCATCCCCTCCATCCCTCACTCCCTCATCCCCTCCATCCTCCATCCCTCCATGCCCCCTCCCATCCCTCCATACCCCACATCCCCTCTATCCCCCATCCCCTCCCTATCCCCTCCATCCCCTCCATCCCTCCATCCCCCATCCCCTCCCATCCCCTCCATCCTCATCCATCCCATTCCTCCATCCCCTCCGTACCTCTGTGACTCTCCATGACCCACCATCCCTTCCATCCGTCTATCTGTCCATCCCTCTATGCCCTTCTCCCTTGTCTCTGTGACTCTTCATGACCCTCCATCCCCTCCATCTGTCCATCCCTCCATCCCTCCATGCCCCTCCATCCCTCCATCCCATCCATCCCCTCCATGCCCATCACCATCATCCCCTCTGCCACTCTGGGTCTCCTCTCCCACCCTTCGCCCTGGAGAAGTCACGGTCCCCTGTGCATCCAGGAGCCCTGAGAGAGGAGAGTGCAACAACATCCAGGAGGGGTATGGGAGAAGAAACTCCCAGCTACTCCAGTCCAGGCAGGGGCCTCACGCCTGACTCCCTACCCAGGGTGGAGGTGGCCAGCCCGGGCTGACCCTGTGTGCAAGGGCTGTGAGGCCATTGTGGACACAGGCACCTCCCTCATGGTGGGCCCCGTGGATGAGGTGCGCGAGCTGCAGAAGGCTATCGGGGCCGTGCCGCTGATCCAGGGCGAGGTGAGCTCAGGGACCGGGGCTGGGGCTGGGGCTGTTGGGGAGCCCAAGGCCCCTCCACCACCCTGACACCACTGTGACCCCTCTTGGTACATGATCCTGTGAGAAGGTGTCCACCTGCCCGCGATCACGCTGAAGCGCTGGGAGGCAAAGGCTACAAGCTGTCCCCAAGAGGACTACACGCTCAAGGTGAACCCAGGTGGAGGGCACATGCCCCAGGGGAGCAGGCGGTGGGGGCTGGCCCTTCAAGGTGAGTGGGTGGGGGGCCCATGCCCAGGTGAGCCGGCAGCAGGTTGGGGGCGCTGGTGCCAGGCCTGGTGCTGACCACCAGGACCGTCCCGAGTGTGCCAGGCCGGGAAGACCCTCTCTGCCTAGCGGCTTCATGGGCATGGACATCCATACCCAGCGGAGCCACACTCTGAATCTGGGCGCGTCTTCTTCGGCGCTACTACACTGTGTTTGACCGCGACAACAACAGGGTGGGCTTCGCGAGGCCACGCCCACCTCTAGTTCCCAAGCCGTGAGGCGTGCCAGCACAGAAACAGAGGAGAGTCCCAGGAGGAGGCCCTGGCCCCGGCACCTCCCACCACGTAGTCACACACACTCTTTTACCTTGCCCGCCCACTGCCTGGGCGCCCTGGGGCTGGCGGCCCAAGCCAGGCCTGCTGTTTTGTTCTGTGGTTTCCCCCTCCTGGGTTCAAACGCCACCTACCTACCTACCTGTCCACCTGTCTGTCTCTCTCCACCTGTCCGTCCTGTCCGTCTGTTTGGTGGGGGGTAGAGGCTGATCTGGAGCACAGATCTGTTCCATACACTTGGAAGACCCGCCCAAGCTTGGCAGCCGAGCTTGTGTATCCTGAGGCTCCCTTCATCTCCAGAGCCCGCTCCCCAGCCCTACCAGCGCCCACTGGGCTGAGCCCCCACCCCACACCAGGCCGTCCTCCCGGACCCTCCCGCCCAAACCTGCCCTACCGAGGGCCTATCGGTTTGGGCCCAGCTGGGCTCTGCCACCCCTACCTGTCCAGTGTCCTGGCCCATTGTGGATGAGGCCAGTGGAGGCCTGAGGATGAGCTGGAAGGAGTGAGAGGGGATAAAACCCACCTTCTGGACCCTGCGCGGTGATCCTGGGACTGAGCCCATCCCTGGGGCATGCATTGGCCTGGAGGTGGGGCTGGGACTGCGAGGCCAGGGGTCAGCCTTCCTCTGCAGCTGACTTCTGCTGTCCTCCCCTTGGGCGACCGAGAGCCCCAGCTGATGTGGAAATACGGTTGTTGGCCTCCCTCTGTGCTGATGTGCTCTGCTTGGCAGGGGTGGCTCAACTTGGGATGGGAGGGGGGTGGGTAGTCAGCTCCAGCACGGCAGCTGAATCAGGGCAGCACCAGGACAAGCATTTGGGGTGCCCTGGGCCTGTAACCCCTGCCCTTCCCAGCCCATGGGCTCCAGGGCTGTGGCCAGCTGTCCAGCCTGGTTGGCCAGTGGGGACTGACTTGTTCCCAGGTCTGGAGCAGTGGCCGGCATGTGGCCTTGGCTGGCTGCAGGGTGGGGCCGGCGAAGGTGTCCAGTATGAGTGCCAGCCTTGAGGAGTGATTTCAGGGAAGTGGCCCAGCCAGGCAGCCATGGCACTTGAACAGAGGATGTTTCCACTCTCAGGGACCATCAGAGCAGGCCTCCCAGTCGCCCTCCGTAGCCCTCTCATCCTGGGAAAGAAATGGCCCCAGGTGGCATGGGTGGCTGGCCTATCTGGGCCTTCTTGCTTCCCAGGCCCTAGAAGCAGCTTTGTGCGCAGTGAGCCGAGCTGAGCCAGTCAAGCCTGCCCAGGGTTGCTGGTTGCGAGTTAGACTCAGAAGTCCCCCTCAGCCACAGTTGCCACAGTCACCGATGCCCAGGCTGATGAAGGCAGTGTGCTTGTTCCGCTGGGAGGGATTGAGGCGTTGCCTGGATGCAGTGGTAGCAGCTTGTAGGGTTTAAGGGCAAGTAGGAGTTTGTGGGCATGTGGTGGTAAGCGCAGTTCCTTTTGGGCTCAGTAGCTCTGGAGTCACTTGGAGCCCCACCCCAACAGGTTAGAAGATAGGCCCGAATGTGACATTTGCCATTATTCTGATGCCTCATCTGAGGGTGGTGGTTGCCTTGGCCTTCCTCCCAAAGGGGTTCAGGGCTTGCACCCCAGAGTCACACCATGGCAGACACCTGGAGCAAACGTTTACCGAATTGGTACGAGCCTGAAGCTACATGCCTAACACGTTTGGCATTCCTGGAATCGAGCAGAGCCGGCAGAGCTTCTGGGGAGACAAATGTCCACGTCGTCCAGATGCTTTGTGCACTGAGAGCGGGGGGCAGAGAGAGGTGCAAAGGAGGCAACCGTGCCCTGTTGTCCCACGCCCTGTCCCCTCTCCCCATCTCCCTCCCTCTGCAGCCTGTCAGCTCCGTCCAGCTCCCATCTTCACGGTTGCTGCCCTGGGGTTGCTCTGAGGGCTCCCTCCCGCCCAGCAGGATTTTCGGGGCCCTGGAGTCTGACCCCAGGCTCCTCTGGTTTTCTAGCTGGTGATTGGACCCTGGAGTCCCTCCTGTCTAGACATGGTTGTAACCAGAAACCCCTAGCAGAGAGTATGCTGGAGCCCAGGCCCTTGGGGAGCCCAGTACAGTCACATGAATGCTGGCTGTGCTGAGTTTACAGCTGAGCCCTGGCTCTGCCCTGTGACCTCTGTGACCCATGGCTCCCTCTCAGTGGTGTTTCCTGGCCTCAGAGGCAGCCCAAGGTGGCCTGAGGCCGGGAGCAGGCCCCTGGCTCCCCTGTCACCTACCCGTGACCCTGGGCGGAGCCCTGGCCTCGGGCCCAGGCAACCCTCTCCTCCTCCTGTGGAGGCCTCCTCACTGCTTGAGGCCTTCCAGGGCAGACTGGGACAGCACTGAGAGGCTGTGTGAGCCAGTGTCTCCCAGAAGGTGGTGGCTGGTCAGGTAGGCCCAGTTCAGATGCTGGGGAGACATGGGGCATGGCACACACAGGCCACACGCCTGGCTGGGAGCCCCCAAGATCAGGCCCCACCTGAGGACACAGGTCCAGTTTTCCCTGAGGCAGGCCTTGGAAAGGAGGAGGGAGTTGGGGAGGGAGAACCAGAACCCTGGTTCTCTGGCAGACCCCATCCACCCATGGCCTGGGCTCCAGGAGGAGAGCATGGCAGGGTGCTCAAGGAGGGATGAGGAGGAGGCCCTCATGTGATGACCTCTCCTGCTCACTAGGGTTTATCAGCATCATTTAAGATCCAGCCCTGTGCTGTGGGTTCCTGGCATGCTGTGGATAGCAGCTATGCCAGGGGGTCAGCCCAGGCATGAGGGGTGGAGACTAGGCTGGAAAGGAGGGGCTTGCAGAGAGCTGGGCTTTTCAGGGGATCAGGTTTCAGAACAGAGGTTTGGGGAGAAAGGTTCAGAGATGACCTGGGGTTCAGGCACAGGCGGACAGAAGGACCCCAAGCAGGACTGGCCTTCAGACAGGAAGGGTTGCGGAGACACAGGAGGCCAATTTAGAGAGGCAGAGGAGAAAGGAGTTTCACGGGAGAACAGGGCTTGGAGAGAGATGAGGAGGGAAAGCGGGGAGCGCCATGCACCCTCAGCTTCCGGGGACTTTGGAGAGGGTGGGGGCTCAGTGGGAGCTGGAGGTTGGTGAAGGACCCAGTTTGGGGCACCTGTGTGTGGTGAAGTGGGGAGACTCGGAGAGCAGAGAGCAGGGCCAGAGTTTTCTCTTTGGGGAGGGACTCATGAGACTGTTATGGGGATGGAAGATCGGGTGGGAGCCAAGCGTACCCATTGAGAGGGAGCGAGGGATGTGGTGGGAGTGAGTGGGGCGGCGCTGAAGCTGGGAGGAGGACCAGCATTGGTTAGAAAAAGTGATTCACAGGGAACAAAGAAGCCTCAGGGGACCAGGCCCAGAAGGGCTGGTAGGGATCGCAGAGAGGCTGTGGGCAGGTGAGTGGACCAGCCTTCAGGGAGACAAGTGTCCTTAGCAGCCAGGACCTCAGCATGGGACCAGAGCTCGGAATGGGACACTTTGCCCTGCAGAGGGAGTGTGACCTGGGGTCTGTGTGCAGGAGAGACCGCATGCTCCCAGACTCTGGGAGTGAACTGGAGTGGGGCCCTGGCTGGGTGAAGTCAGACTCAGGAAGGGGGCAGGAGCTCCGATGGGCGAAGTGGGCTCAGCAGGAAGGGAACAGAGTAGGGGGCTCTGAAACTTGTCGGAGGGCCTGGACTTGGTGGGCTAAGGAGGAAGGGACTGGAGGGTGGCCTTGGGAGCCTTGGTGACTTGGTTAGGGATAGGACCAGGGCAGAGATAGGCACTCAGGTAAAGGCCTGCTGGGGGCTCAGGGGACAGACTTCTTCGGGAGGGGACTGGAGGCTTCCTTAGGAGGAGGGGCAGGCCGCTGGAACTGAGAGTCAACAGGCCAGAAGGGTAGGACCCAGGGGCGGGGGTCCCTTGAGGCAGCAGGGCCCAGGCGCTGGGGTGGGGCGCGATGGGGGAGAGCGTTGTAGAGGCAGATAGAGAGGAGTTCCGAGAGCCACACTGAGTCTTTCACGGGGCTGGGGCTCAGCGAGGGATGCGGCCGGGTGGGGTGGGGAGGAAGACACAGTGGGTCAGGGGAGGGGAGATGGAGGTAGCGCCGGCACCCTGGTCGGGCGCTGTGGGTCCCATCCCTGCAGGACACAACTCCCGGTCGCGGCTTCCGGCGGGGCCCGCAGCCCCCACCCTCTCGGCAGGAGGAGGCGGGAGGCGGGGAGGTGGCCTGCGCCCGCCGCCACCGCCCGCCGTGGAGTCAGGTTCTGAGCTGCAGCATGCGGCAGGTCTGGCGCTGCGGAGGAGCACAGGCGGCTGGGGAGGCAACAGCGCCGCCACCCGAGCCTGCGCTCCCCCACCCCCTCAAGGTTGGGCCGCTGGGACGCGGATCAGTGGACAGACAGCGGCCCGCGGAGACGCGGAGGAGCGCGCGCACCGGGCGCAGGAGGTCGGCTGCGCGCCGAGTGGATTTGTAGGTGAGGAGCGCAGTCCGAGGCGGACTGCGGCAGACCGGGTGGGCTGGGGGCCGCAGAGCCTCGGCCGCAGACCCCAGCGCGCTGCACGGGACTGGGCGCAGCGAGGGTGGCGCAGGGAGTCGCAGCGACTTGGTGCCGCGTTGGAGAAGTGTTCGTTTCGCAGCCTGTCATTGTCTCGTCTGTGTATGGCCCGGGGTGCGTGGCTCGGGCAAGTGTGCGGCGCTTGGGGTCCCCACGTTGGAGGTGGGGCGGTGCGCCTGAGTTGGAAGACCCGCGCGTGCAGTTCTCGCGCTTCGTGGCTGACTGCGTCGCCTTGCTTGTGTGGGAGCTGTTTACTCCTCCAGTGGCTCTGAGCGCGCCGGGTGCGCCCGGGGTCTGGTCCGCCGGTGGAGTCCGTGTGATTGCCGGTGGCTGTGCCCGTGGCGGTATCGGGTGTCCTTGTTGCCATTGGATCAGAGTGTGGGCACCTTCATCTCTGCATTGTGAAACATGGTGGCAATAACACTGGCGGAGTCAGCGGCGCCGCCAGCCGGTGCAAGATTGTTGGGTTCAGACGCCTGTTGTTTTGCAACAGTGTCAGTCTCAGCGTTGGTGTGCTTCTGGGGGTGCTGTTGTGTGTGTCAGTGGAGTGAGTGTTTGTGCGCAGATAGCAAAGTAGAAAGCCCCAGGTCCCTGCCAAGGCCTGCGAAGAGCCCCGGCCTTCGTCTGTGGCCGCGAGGCACGGGGCGGGTGGGGAGCAGGTGGCATGAGCTGGCAGCTGGCGGCCCGCAGGGCCCCGTCTCACTGGGGCTGTTCTCAGGAGCCGCCGGGCGTGAGGGTGGGTGCTGGCCGGTGGGCGGGCCCAGCTTCGCTCTCACTCTCTCTCTCCAGGCCCGGGGGCCCGGCCAGTGCCAGCCCCGCTGGGCCCGGCCCAGCACCACGAGACCGGCGCCCAGAAGCCCGAGTCCCCCTGGACGGGGCCTTCTGGATCCCGAGGCCCCGGCAGACCAGCCCAAGGGCTGCTTATTGCGTGTCAAACCCCCGCCCTGCAGGTCTCAGCGGCCCCTGCCCTGAGCCCTCGGCCTCCCGATGGCGCCCACACTGTTCCCATAGAGTCCAAGAAACATGGAGCCGACAGCGTGCGAGGCCACAGCCTTTGCCCAAACCTGCAAGCACCTAGCGAGAAAGAAAGCGATGACCAACCCCACGACCGTCATCGAGGTCTACCCCGGACACCACCGAGGTGAGCGACTATTACCTATGATCCATCTTTAACTTCGTCTACCTCAACTTCTGCCTGGGCTTCATCGCCTTGGCCTACTCCTCAAAGTGAGTCCGGGTGGCGGCAGGAGCAGGGGCGGGCTGGAGAGGTGGTGCCGGCAGACGGTCCCTGGCTGGCGACTCAGCCCCTCTCCCTCAGGGGAGCACACGGGTAAACAGGTGCAGTTGAGGGGCCCAGGGTTCAAGGACAGCGAGGGGGTCCTGATCGCGGGTCCCAGAGAGGTTGAGGTAGTGGCTAGGTCTGGGCGGGCAGGGATCTGCCCTTCCCTCTCCTGAGCCATCAGAGCCTGGCTTTCTGCTCAGCCCAGCACAGCGGAACCTGCAGGAGGGCTGGAGGGTGAGCCAGGGGTCAGTGTAGGCTCAGGGACATGAGACATAGACCTGGGCAACAGCCACTCACTCAGTGTACAGGATAGGGCAGCATGGGGCTGAAGAGGGCTTGGAATCCTACCCTTGTGGAAAGGAAGAGCGGCCACCTTCTTATCCAGCTCCTCACCCGGAGCCCAGGGCAGGTCTTACACAGCTCTGCCAGGCCATGCGTGGAGACCAGTCCTGGGTGGCCAGGACTCAGGGAAGAGGGGTGTAAACGGGTTCTACACCTCCCAGCCCCCCACCCTGAGGAGCATGACTTCCAGAATCACCTCAGTGCTGCGAGAAGAGCTGACTGGTAGCAGAGCAGGTGCTGGGCAGACATGACCCAGTCCCCCTGAGGTCAAGGTGGAGCGACAGGGATGGAGGTGGTGGGAGGGAGGCTGTGATGGGCTCACAGTGAGGGGGGCAGCCCTGTGTAAATATTGTCTGGTCTGGAGCCCTTCCTGGGAAAGGAGCGTGAGGGCGAGGCTGGCGGTGCCCTCCTCCCCACCCGAGGCGCACGGAAGGAAGGGCTTGGCTCACGTTTGGCCTAATCTCATTTCCCAGCCCAGACTTGAGTGGCCAAGGCCAGATGTACTCCACCAGTGCAGCTGCCCTGCCGGGTGGGGGAGGAAGGCCGGGGGATAGGGGAGGGAAGAGGCTGGGCAGAAGCTGGCTGAGGGGAAAGGGCGGCCGGCCAGCTTCGCCTCTGCTCCATCCTTGAGCTGGAGCCCCACCCGGCCCGACATCGCAGCTGCCGTCGGCACCGAGGTCCTGCTCTGACTCATCATCATTGCCAACCCCCGGCATTGCCCACTGGCACGGGCACCTTCAACCTCGGGCGTGCCGACCATCCCTGGGCTCTGACACAGGAGGCCTGTGCCGTGACCAGCACGTGCCAGTGTATGCATGTACTCAAGTGTAATTGCATAAATGGGCGTGTACTGTGAGATGTAATTGTATGTGTGCATGTGGATGCATTGTGTGCATAGTGTACATTTATTTTGTGTGTGTGCATGTGTATGTGTGTAGGCATGAGTGTATTTGTGTGTGTGCACACGTGCATGCATATGTGTGCATGTGTGTGTAATCATGTGAGTGCACATGGTGTGTGTAAATGTGTGTGCCCAAGTGTGTGAGGCGTGTGTACACATATGTGGTGTGTGTGTATGTACCTGTGTGTGTAATTGCATGTGTGTGCATGGTGTGTGTGTAAATGTATTGTGCAAAATGTGCAAGGGTATGTTCATGTGTAATATGTGTTCCTAAGTGTGTGCATGTGTGTGTAATCACGTGTGTGTACAATGAGCAGGGTATGTTCATGTGCCAATGTGTGTTCCTGAGTGTGTGCATGTGTGTATTACACGTGAGTGTGCATGGCATGTGTAAATGTGTGTGCACAAGTGTGTGAGGATATTGTGCATGTGTGCTGTATGTGCCTGTGTGTCCGTGTGTGTAATCACATGAGTGTGGCATAGCACGTGTAAATGTGTGTACACAAGTGTGTGAGGGTGTGTGCATATGTACTGTCTGTATGTAGTTGAGTGTGCACGTGTGTAATCACACATGTGTGTGCATGGCACGTGTAAATGTGTGTGCACAAGTGTGTGAGGGTGTGCACGCATGCATATGTGTACCTGAGTGTGCATGTGTGTGTAATCACACGTGAGTGTGCATGGCACATGTAAATGTGTGTGCACAAGTATGTGAGGGTGTGTGCATGTGTGCTGTGTGTATGTACCTGTGTGTGCATGTGTGTGTAATTGCATGAATGTGCATGGCACGTGTAAATGTGTACACACACGTGTGTGTGAGAATGTGTGCATATGTGCTTTGTGTATGTACCTCAGTGTGCATGTTTGTAATCATACGTGTGTGGTGCATGTAAATGTGTGTGTGTACAAGTGTGTGAGGATGTGTGTGCATGTGTGATGTGTGTATGCACCTGAGTGTGCATGTGTGTGTAATCACAGAGTAGTGTGCATGGCACATATAAATGTGTGTGTACAAGTGCGTGAGCATGTGTGCGTGTGTGGTGAGTGTGTGTGTTTCTGCATGCACACACACACGTGTGTGCGATGTGTGTGTGTGTGTAGAAGCAACAAAGAAGGACCCCTGGAACTGAGGTCATGCCTCGACCAGCTCCAGCTGTGGCTCCCCAGACCCATCCTGAGCAGAGAGCTCCGGTGTTGCGGGGCTGAAGCTGCAGCTGGTGGAGCTCTGCCTCCCCTCTCTGTGCCCTGCCAACAGCCTGCGGACATGGGTCTGGCTGCCTGGGCTCCTGTCGAGGAAGCCGTCCCTCCTCCCGCTTGGCCCAGGCTGTGGCTGGCCGGCTGGCATGGGGCAGGCCCATCTGGCTCGGGTGTGGGTAGGTCAGGGCTTCTGGGTGGTGCGAGGGTTTCTGCAGGGGTTGGGGGTGGTGTGAGCTTGGCCTTCTGAGGGGCAGGGACTGCTCATTACACCTCACTCAGGCCTGCTTACTCCCGTGTCCTTCTGCGGGGTTGGGAGTAGCCAGGGCAGAGAGGCTTTGGGGCATACTTGGGAGTGGGTCCGAGGTGAGTTGCCTCTATCCTGGGCAGAAGGGAGACGGAACTGGCTGGCTGTGGACCCCACTCCTGGGGCCATCCCTCTGGCCCACGCAGCTGCAGGTCTCTGTTCTGCACCTGCACCAAGGGCACAGGGCGGACTTGGGGTCAGAAGGTCTTGGCTAAAATCTGAGCTCTTGGGACAGACAAGCCATCTTGCCTCACTGAGCCCCTGTTCCCTCATCTGTTCCCAAAACAAATAGAAACAAAACAACATTCAAGCCAGCACACCGTGGGCAGGCGGAGGCCGCGCACAGTGGTGCAGAAATAGATAGCGTGTCCTTGCCTGCCCCCGTGTCCATCCACCCACATCGAGCCATCCATCACCCCCACCCATGGGCCAATTCAGCTCAACGCAGGCTGGATCTGCAGCGCGGAGATTGGAGCCTTATTTTTGCACAGCCTGGTGTCCGGGAAGAGGCAGAGATATAGAAAGTCAATTCTCCATTCATGCCGCCTCCACACTGCCTCCTGACACTGGCTCCCAGCAGTCGGCTGGATGATGATCAAACGTCTCATCTCAGCATCCAAGCTGCGTTTTTAACCCTTCTGGCCTCAGCAGTTCCCGCCCCGGTCACTCGCCAAATGTGACATGAGCGGGTGCACAGCCGGTCTGCATATGCACATCCTCAGCCTGGAGAGCTTTTGTGAGATCTAGGTCTCTCTTCTGCAAAGCCTCCAGAGACAGTCCTGCCCCAGCCACATCTGTTCACCCCAGCCAACCTGTGCTCAAGGTAGAGCTGGCCAACAATGGATCAAGACATGTTGACCCTGTGGGTGAGGGGTGTGCGTTAGCTGGCGTGATGTGTGTACCTGAGTGTGCATGTGTGTGTAATCACACGTGAGTTGTGTACCTGAGTGTGCATGTGTGTGTAATCACACGTGAGTGTGCATGGCACGTGTAAATGTGTGTGCACAAGTGTGTGAGGGTCTGTGCATGTGTGCTGTGTGTATGTACCTGAGTGTGTGTACATGTGTGTGTAATCACACGAGAGTGCATGGCACGTGTAAATGTGTATACACAAGTGTGTGAGGGTGTGTGCATATGTGCTTTGTGTATGTACCTGAGTGTTCATGTTGGTGGACAGAGGACACATGAGACGGAAGAAGCACCACAGTGTTTCAGAAAAGGAATATTTCATTCCCAGTTTGGGGTGAGGCTGGAAGACTTCTAGGAGGAGGCAGCAATTTCACCGGGCCTTGAAGCTTGGTGAGGGGAAAGGTGTTTCAGGTGGGGGAAAGGGCATAAACTAAGACACGTAGGTGGGGCAGTCGAGGGGGTTGGCAAGGCCCTTGTCCTCGTTGAGAAATAGAAGACAGTCCTAGAAGAGTGCCTGAGGCAGTGCAGTGAGGGGTTTGAAAACCTTGTGAGGGGCTGGGCTCTCATCTGTAGGAGACATGGAAGAGAAGGATATGATCAGTGCCATGAAATCTGCAACCAGTGTAGAGGAAGGGGACAAGTCAAGCCTCGAGGCAGAGGGTTCAAGTCCCAGTGTGGTGGTCCAGGTGGAAGAACTTGTGAGCTGAGGATGGGGGTGGGAGAGGAGGAACGGGTGTGGCCAGGACACAGCAGCTGCTAGATGTGAGCCCAGGAGGCTGTGAGACCTTCCAGTGACAGGGCGATCAGAAAGAACAGGTTAGGTGGGTGGGTTCTGCCTTGGGTTTTCGATGTACACACTCGCCCACTCACTCCTTTCTGAATATCAGCATCACACATTGATCTTTCCCATCCCCCATCCATCTATCATTCATCCATCTTCCATCGATCCATCCTCCATCTGTCCATCCTCCATCCACCCATCCATCCACCCTCAGCATCGTACACATTGATCTTTTCTCTCATCTCCCATCCATCTACTGTCTATCCATTCTTTCCATCGATTCCATTTCATTTCTCGTCTATCTCTTCATCTACCATTCATCTACCTTCATCTATCATCTATCTATTATATTTCATTCATCTATCATATCTATTTGTCCATTCACTTTCCATCTATCTATCTATCTATTTTTCATCTATTTTCTTATCTATCTTATCTCTTCATTTGTCTATCTCTTCATCTAAACATTTTATTCATCACTTTCTATCTATTCATTCATGTATTACTTTTCTTTA